TATGCTGTCAAAAATGTCCTGCTGACTGGCAAAAAACTTCTGCAGACTGGTGTGGGTCTGTGGACCGCAGGTTGGGGGACACTGGTATAGACTATATAGTGTGCCTATCAAATATTTTGATCAATTGGAGATCAGCAACAAAAATAAAATCCAAAGAATGGTTCTTTTCAAACTTTCAAGTATGATTTTACCAATTATAAGTCATCATATCTCAGTCATCCTGAATTTTTAATCCTCATACAGTTCTCATAAGATAATGCTGCTCTGTAAATGGAAACACATACTGTAATTTGAAATTCTCTGGAAATCTTAAATGATTTTGCGCCTGAACTATGATTCTTCTTCCATTTCAGGGTTCCTTTATTAATGAATTTAGAAATAATAAAATTATCAAAAATCATTGCTGAATCATTTGAATGCAGTCTATCTTTTAAAAAATTGTTTATTTTTAATTCCAATATTGCACCTTGAAGAACTTGAAAATTTCCAGATAAATCCAAAAGGATGTGGAGAAATGTTCCACCATTACATTGACTGCCTCACACCATTTTACTATCTGTATTTTATGGAAAAACCCGAAAAAATTGTATTTTATCTCATTTTCAGTGGTTCATGAGTATCCAGAGCCCATGTTTGAAGTGAAACTTCTTGGCCAACATCATTCTGGAATTCCTGTTGAAGCAATGGTTGGACAGACAGTGCCTCTGTATGTGGATGACAGTGTTGATGGCTATGTTCTGGGAGAAATCAAGTGTTTGCTTCACAACATCTCTGTGTTGCCACGCTTTTATCTCTATCAAGGTTTGTGAAACAGTAAATTTAATTGTGAAACAGAAAAAAGAAATCAAGACTGCTGTGGATTTAATTTTGCAAAAAAATTAACTTACAACTTTTAATAAATGATTTGTGCGTCTCATATCAAGGGAAAAAAAAGAAAGTGAGATTTTTCAAAATTATTTTCTCTTCAGATGGTGTTTTAATGAATGAAGACATCTTTCTCTTTTCATCTCACACTTATGCCGCGGAAGCAACTGTCAAATTTATCAAGAAATCAACAATCATCGGATGCGCTTTTTCTTTTGAAAAACAAAATTTCAAGTCCAAAGTTTCCTCCATCAAAGTCAAATTTGTTTCAGATGTCGAGGAATCAGCGAAAACTGCAGGTATTGATGTATTTCTTCCCTTTTTCAAATTGTTATAGATTTATCATCAATTCATTTTTATAAAAATTTTTTAAAAATTTGGCCACACAACTTTTACAGATGCAATTTTTGAACAAGTTTAATTTCCCCACTTTGTTGTGTATGAAAGCCCAGCAAATAATTTGTTACAGGTATTGCTGCGCATAACAGTTACGCATTAAAAAATGCGTTTGTTATGCATCACTGTTATGCCCAGCTTCTTCTGAAACGCCTTTCTTTTTTTTCTTTGTTGCTGTACTGAAAGTTTTTTCTGAGATGCGTTCAGAATGCGTTTTTAATGCATTCTGTAGTTACGCCTATACTTTAAACATTTTTGATGAGCTTTTCTTGAGTGTAGCAGGCAGGCGTTTCAAAACGCCTGCCTGCTACACTCAAGAATTTATATTTTTTCAGATTTTCCTGGGTGTAACATGGAGCATTTTGAAACGCTCTGTGTTACAACCAGGGAAAATCTGAAATAAACAGTTTTTAGCATTGTAACAGAAAGGCATTTTAAAACGCCTGCTTGTTACAACCAAGGGAAATCTGTAGAAATCAGTTTTTTGGGATTGTAACAGATAGGCATTTCAAAATGCCTGTCTGTTACAGTGCCAAAAACTGTTCATTACAGCTTTTCCTTCTTTGTAGCATGGAGTATTTTGTAACACCAGCCTGTTACATTCTTTAAAGTTATTCTTTATTTTTAACAGTATTTTTAACATCAAAATTTATATTTTGTGGTTTTGTATTATTGCAAAAAACTGATGCGACAAACAGAAAAATCTGCAACATTGTGTTTGTCGCATCAGTTTGTTGCAGCGCGGATCTGGACCCCTAGATCCGCACTGCGATACTGGCGACAGAGTACTCAATACATGTTTGTCGCCAGTATAATACTGGCGACAGAGTACTCAATACATGTTTGTCGCCAGTATAATACTGGCAACAGAGTACTCAATACATGTTTGTCACCAGTATTATACTGGCAACAGACATGTCTGTCGCCAGTATTAGATGCCCTGGTATTATTACTGAGTTATTATCACCTCAGTAATAATACCAAGGTATGGTGGTGCAGTTGATATGACTTTGGGCTCAGGAATGTTTGTCTGAAGTTCGAATCCCAAGAGGGGCAGTTTATTATTCATTTATTTCCCTGTCAGTGTGTGTGTGTGTGTGTGTGTGTGTGTGTATAGTGTGTGCATTGTGCATAATGAGCCCAGTCTGTCTTGGTGAGAATATTTTTTTGTGGTTTTCTTTGTAACAATTTCCTGTTGAAAAATGCGTATCATACGCATTTCTGCATTATAATCAATCCTATCCAGGCGTAATTTGAGTTACGCCTGGATAAATACCTAGCTGTAACTAGAGGGCGTTTTGAAACGCCTATAAGGTATGCATTAACTAAAATCCTGAGTAGGCGTAACATGGAGAGGCTTGAAATGCGTAGCATTTTTGGCTAGAAATGTGTATAAAACGCATTTTGAAATGCCCAAATTATTTGCTGGGAGTACTTGCTTTTTTTTAGAGCTTTGTTTTTATTTTCAGGTCTGGAACATGGATTGAAGAGGTCGTATGTGTTTGGCGTGTTCCCAATGTTCCTTGCAATTGGGTTATTGGTGTGCATGTGTGTATTTTCTTTTACAACTGGTTTCGTTTTTTGGGTACGGAAAATGCGTTTAGACCGACGCGTGATTTCTGAAGGGCTTCATCATGACGCCCGAACAAACCATGAAGTCGTATTTCAAGGTGAGTATTTTTCACAGAGTGAATCATTGCAATTTTCAAAATTCATTCATTCAAGAAGTAGGAAATTTTATTCAATTTGAAATGGTTGTGATTTTTAAACGTGGCTGAGGTTGTTTTCAATTGACGCGTGGTTTTTTGGTCTCCAGAAATTTTGATGAAGTACAGTATCTATTCTCATTTTTATTTCTTACAGCACCTGCGATGAATTCAAGAAATCTCAAGATTCAAATTGCGGACAACCCAAATTATTGGTGCATGAATTCTCATGATGAGGGACGACACAATTTGGAGACTATGCAGAACCCGTGTCATGGATCCCAGGTCCAGCAGGAAGCAGTCCTTGCTACCCAACAAAACCCATCAGCAGATTCTGGTTTTGGCAAAACTTGGGATTCCGGAAAGAATTCCATGCGCAAATCTGCCTCCATGCTGTTCAGCCGAGATAAGTTGATGTTGCCTTCGTGTTTGCTGAATCCCAGCGCGTCTCACGGAAATTTCAAATTGCTCAGGGAAGATTGAAAGTCACGGACGGCAAAGTTGAAGCATTCAACCCGTTTTAAACTACACATTATTTATTTTCGAGTTCTGGAAATCGCCTCCATCTCAGTTAACCTTTTAAACTCTACTTTGTTACCTGTAAATTTAATAGCAAAAAAATTGAAATATAGACAATATACGAGGGTCTTGACAAAAGTTCATGCAATAATTCAAAAGGTGTCATACAATTGAGCTGAAAAAAATTTATTATTTAGGGGAAACCTATTCTTTGGCCCAAAAAGAAAATCAGTCCTGTTTGACAATTTGCTTTTATGTTTTGCAAAATTCACCCTAGCAGAGTTTTGCTCTCCACTCAAAAGATGAGGCGCCCTTCCCACAGATTTTTTTTTTTTTTTTTTGTAGCCCAGCTTTCATTTCAGAATTTTTGAAATCAAGGTGGATTCTTTCTAAGGGTTGCCTCCAGAATCCAGATCTTCAAAGGCAATTCTGCCATTTTCATCAACAATGGCAGAATTGCCTTCAACAGTTTGCATGAATAATCTAAAGATTAATCTTCAAAGGCAATTCTGCCATTTTCAACAGCCGCCAAATTGATGGCAGAATTGCCTTTGAAGATCTGGAGGCAACCCTTAGAAAGAATGCCACCTTGATTTCAAAAATTCTGAGGGGAAAGCTGGGCTACAACAACAACAAAAATCTGCAGGAATGGCGCCTCATCTTTTGAGTGGAGAGCAAAACTCTGCTAGGGTGAATTTTGCAAAACATTGAAGCAAATTGTCAAACAGGACTGATTTTTTTTGGACCAAAGAATATGTTTCCCCTAAATAATAAAATTTTTTCCAGCTCAATTGTATGACATCTTTTGAATTATTGCATAAACTTTTGTCAAGACCCTCGTAAATTTGTCCTGTATATTTTTAAATAATGCTCACTTTGTATACAAAAAGTATCCCTGATTGTCTCTGTTTAAACGTCCTTCATGAAAAATTCAACTTACTGTACTCTTGTTTTCAGCTATACAATAATCGGAATGTGGAACAGCAGAGTTTTTCGATTTTCATTTAATTTAAATTTGTTTACATGAGGAGACCTGTTGTTTACACGGATTTTTCTGACAGAGCCCCTGTTCAGAAAATAATACTTTATTCACTATAGGGTATAACACGCACCTTTTTTCCTTAAAACATTAAGCTCAAAAAGCTGGGCATGCGGCGTTCTTGGGTATCCAGTACATTTTTTTAAATTTTTGGAAATTTTTGTGCGTATCATGCTTGAGACATATTCAGTGATATCCAAAGAAATATTTTTAGCAACTAGAACGGGTAGAAATATAGATTTATGCTTGAATCAAACCAGACAAAAATGAGAGAGGAATGCTGCTCTCTCATTAAATTCAGAAAATTAATCTAAATTTCAAATTTTAGCATTTATTTCATTAAATGGACTTTTGTGTAACAGTGTGCCTTTTGTATAAATGCGAAGTGCAATTGTTTATCTTTTGCTTATGACAAAGCACGCATTGTTTGAGAAACTCTCGTTATTCTTGAAGTTGAGTAAAATAACTACCCCGAGTTTCAAAAAAGCGGGTTCATTATTAACTCTCTCAGGTCAAGGCAAGCAATCATCCACGTACACACACGCACACAAACAAGCAAGCAAAAAACTCATCCGTGAGTATCACATTGTTAATCTTCCCGGACTAAAATCTTTTTCCTCTCAACTCAATGTTAACTAGACGCGGCAAGCACAAGACGGTATCAAAAAGTTAAAACACTCTTCAATGCCATTGCAAGCTCAATGGCGATTTCTTCGACATCTTCCTCGCATCAATGAAGTATAAGAGCCAAAAAAAAAAAAACATGTACAACCGTTCTTGAAAAGATTTTTCTAGCTTTTTCCCCCCGCGCGCGTCAAAATCACTGGCAGTTTCATTCTGAAAATGTGACTCAAAAATTGTAAGACACAAATAATTTCTTCCAAACCATTTTACGTAAAATAAGGCAAGTTCTCATACTTAATTTACTCTATTATAAGACTTACTGTAACTGCTCATTTTCATAAACTGATGTACTGCATTTGTTTACTAATGAAATGTTATTTAACGCAGGGTAGAGCAAATTGCGCGAATTTTTAAATGCCAAGCAGTGTGTTGCTGAGAAATTGCAAATTAATGCTCATCCCCATTTAATTTTCAGTGAAATTAGGCCTGCGAGAAATATTAGCACAACTAAGACATTTGAAATCATACGACTAAAGAGAAAATAAAATGACCAGATTTCAGACCTATGCAAGTCTAAAATCAAGTCTTGACGTTTGAATATTTTTCAATAGAACACATTTTATGCAGGTCCTTGCAGGAATTTGTTGTACTGCGATCTTACTGTTTCTATCATTTAAAGAGGAGAACATTTTTCAACATGAACTGTAAAATGTTGTTGCAATGAACTTCCAGGGACCCTCAAAAATTCCGCAAGACAAACATTTGTTATGAGATGATCACGTTAAGAAATGGGGACTTGATTCATGAAATAAGGGATGGAATTCTTTCAATGTTAATTTTTTTCTGACCATTTAAAATAAAAACATTATCAAGGAAAATAATAAAGTCTCACATTTACACCGGAAAAAAGGACTTTTAGCAGAAGCAACAGTGTTTCCTCAAAAGAAACCGTCCCTACATGATTTTCCCATTAAATAATTTTTGTTGGAATATTATTTTTCTCTTCCAACGTTGAATGCAGTACAGTACAAGAAATTATTGAGAGAAAAAAAATCCTGATGCCGTAACTGTGAAAAAAACCCCGAGTAATTCTTTTTTTTTTCTACCAGGATCTTCGAGAACCTTTTTTTTCATGAAGAATGAATACAGTAATCCGTTATAGCGGGATTTAACATTTATAAATGAGTTTCTCAGTGCCAGACCATTCAGTCCCTTACTTTGCTGGAAGCAGAACAAGAAATTATTCAGAACAGTTTTCTAATACTGTACTTCTGATGAAAACCCTGATTAATTCATTTTGTTTTTCCTGCCAGGATCTTCGATAACTGTTTTCCTAGTGAATTAATAATTAATTATAGCGGAATTTCACCTGTTCACGCCAATTTTCCCCAGTGCCAAAACCATATCATCCCTTCATTCACACCACTCCCATCATCAATGAGTCGATCCATGATTACACCCTTCTCGCTAGCACCAGTATCACGGGCAGAATGAGGGACCAAACGTTCGTTGGTCGTATCGCAGTGTTGCCAGCTTTCAGGTCCGCACTCGAGCTCTCTTCCGCAGCAATCACGACTTCTGGTTCCGGTTCCGGAGCCGATTCGCTGGCTTTGGTCTGCGACGCCGGCTCCAGCGGTTGCACGCTTCCCACGCCCAGAGCTGCTGCTTCCGGGTCCTCGTAAGTCGCTGCCAAAGCACCTTGATTATACACGGGATTCGCAGGAGAAGAAAATTGACAAAAAAATGAATAAGATGCTTTTGATTGACTTCCGTCCGATTCGAATTCTGTATTGGGAGCCATACTTGGGACGACCAGCAAAGTCTCGATCCGTGCTTCTTTTCCCTTTTTTCTTTTTTTTTCGTTAGATTTGAAGAGCATTATTTTTTTTCTCTATGCACAATGAAATTCAGAGGACCAGAAAAAACTGAATTCTCAGTAGAGGGAATTTTGTTGATAGGATGGACTATCCCTCTACAAAGTTATTGTCTACAACAATTTTCTCTTTGCAACGTTTTTTTTTAATCAAGAAAGTTGTCTTCTCATGTTATAGGGGTTCCTGACAACAAAATTCAATGGATCAGAAAAATTTCCTTGTAGAGAGAATTTTATTGTTGAGAACCCTTACAACAAGCAAAGAGAACTCCTTGAGAACCAAAAAAAAGCGTTGTATAGAGAATAAACCTGTACAATATGGCTTTTTAAATAACAAATTTCTTGGTCAATTGAAAATCTGCTCAGAAGAAAATGTGACAAAAATAAATGACTCACTTAGAAAACGTAATCCAGCAAAACAAAATTTTCCAGTTGAAACATTTCCCATTTCAACAAGTTTTTTTCTTAGAATTTTTTTATAAATCAATGAAGGATAAACAAAAGAGGTGAAGTTTTGCCTTCACTAGTCCCCTAAAATTTGGGCACTGTATTTTAAAAAGTTGGGAGCTCAAAACTGTCAGGATTACGTTTTAAATCCACGTTTTGTAATGATGATTTCCTAAAATAATGTACACAGGTTTTCTACTAAGGTCTGGTACATTATTTACTGTAGCAACACTAATCTTCTTTTGCCATTCTTGAATTTCAAAGTAGGGACTATTTTATTCATCTTGATCAATTGAGTCATAATTTTACTGTCATCATCAGGAATACAAACGCATGCACAATTCAAGCCCCAGTTAAGCTTTCATTTCCAGAACTATATCCTCCCACTCAAAAATCTGATTTGTAAACGTCCAATTCGTTCCGTTTTCGTTTACACAGTTTCGGGATCCCATATCTTTAAAAAAAAAAAAAACAGAGAAGGGAAATAATTGGTTTTTTGTTTGTGTCATTCTCCTATTCCGTCAAAAGGCGCGTGAGAAAACGCGAGACATTCTAATTGCAAGGCAGTCAAACGCAAAGCCACAACAGCGCAGAGACAAACAATGCGCATTCCAGATGGAAAGAAGAAGAAGAAAGGGACGCATATCCCGTCAATTTGAGCACCTCGGAAATACTTCCGCCTCTTGCATTATATATTTATATCTCACTCAAATACAGGCGAGAAGGTTCTCAAAAGTTTCCGCCTTACAAGCAAGGTGATATGATGGAACCACCAACAATTTGCTCCTTCTGTTAAAAGTCTGAAAACATATTTTTCCATAGAAAAAATCATGAAAATTGCATTCCAATCCACACAAAAAAATATTGCTGATTCCTCCTTTTCAAAAAAAGGGGAACCTCATTCCTGTAAATCAAGACAAAATTTCAGTCAAGATGCAAACTTCTGGGAAGCAATTGAAAGCTTTACTATGTACTGCACAGATTTCCGCAAACAAGTGGAGATATTAACTTCCGAAATTCCGGATTTCAGTAAACCACTGCAATGATTCTGTTGTCCATTTCTCGGCCAATAACAAGCTCTAGAAAATCTAGTCAATTTTAAAACATCAGTTCTTTTCTTAAAGACCACTGAACAATAAATTAATAAAAAGGCTGAAATTCTTTCTTCTCTGAACAGTCTTACCAGAACCATAGAGCGAAACCAGTTGTTGGATGTTGTGGGACAAATTAGAAGGAAGCCACTGTACTTGGATATTTCAATATAAATCTCTGGCTGATTCGATTCCACTAAAAAGCCCAATCTGTAGCCAAAACGTTTGTCATAGCTGTGATGTCCGAAGAACTGCGGTGACAATTTACGGCGAAAATATAAATTTTTGAGCGCTGCAATCAGAATTTGAATTAAATCAAATATTCAGCATCCGACCAATGGCTTCCAATATCGTAAAAATTTCCCTCAGGAATCTGACCTTGAAACTCGAATATCCGTAGAACTTTGATTTCGATTCACAAATTAAAATGCTTGAAATCTGTTTCGCAGAGTACTTTGGAAAGTGCCCCACGCAGTTACAGTACCTTGGCTTTGGGGAAGATCAAGAAAAGTAAAATATATATTCGAAAAAAATAATGAAGAAGAAAAGGAATAAAATGAAAGTCGCCTGCGTCTGGAAAACCGCGGAGGAATTTTTCTTGCAGTCATCACGCGTCTCTCAGCAGAAAACCGTGACGAATCCGTGCGAGCGGAAATCCTTGACGGATTTCGTTTCCGAAATGAAATTATTCGCTACGAGGGGTTTTTTCCAGTTCCCAGTAGAACTAATACGAAGATATTTTCTTGCTCGTCCGCGTGTCGAAACTTAATTGAAATTATTTCTCCGTGCTTAGTGGAAATTAAGCCCAAAGTTTAAGGGTTTTTTAAATATTTTTTTTTTAAAGATGAAAACCGCGAGAATGACAGCATTTGATTCATGTCACCTCTTTCAAATGCTTCAGCATTGATTCACCTTGAATGATTCGCTTACATTAATTCCATGATAGACTATTTTAAAGTTCACAATCCTTAAACCTCACAATCCAGATATTTTTTTTTAATCGGAGATTCGTGGAACTCCCATTCAGCAAAATTATTAAGATTTTCGAGAAAATGAGGTTTAATGCATCGTAATTCCAACCCAAGTCATTATCAACTGATTTTTAAACTAAAATACTTCGAGATTTCCAGGAATTGCTGTCATACAGTTTTATTTCGGTGCTTTCAAATTTTTTTTCGATTTTAAACGAAATTTTTGCGGATTACTCGGGACTTTAATGCGATTATACATAATTTAATCCGGCAAGAGATTATCCGAGATACAGTGGGACCTAAAAATGTGGACGTAATTGGTGCTTGGACCTTGTCCTTATGTCGGATTGTCCGCATGTCGGATCTCGTTTTCCGATAGACTTCAGTGCAATCATATCTAAAGTACTGTAATTGGTTCTTCTGTTTCTCAAAAATTAGTACCGAAATAAGTCCTAAAAAATTAATAAAAATTGTTTCCCTTGACTTCAAGATACAGAAAACAACTGTGCAGAAGAAAACCATACAGAATCTGATCTTTTGGCATCAAAATGAGCTCAAAGAGCAAAGAACAAGTTCAAGTCTTACTATAATGTGCACAGATGATAGAAAAAACTGTGAAAAAATAAGCACAAAATCAGCCTGATTTTTTAAAATTATCAATTCGATTGCATTTTATAGTCAAATGTATTTTCAATTTTTGTCAATATAATTAGCTAAAGTTGTTCAAGAGATATCCAAATTTTAAAAAAATTGAATTTTTCGATTTTTCTTGAAAGTATCAACGAAATGTCCCTATATATCTTGAGCCATTCTCCGGATGTTGGGCCAGAATTTTTTTTAAGTTTCGTGTGTCCCAAACTCGAATCGCCCGCATGTCTGGGTCTCACTGTATTCGTGTTTCTCCAAAAGGGGGCAACACCTACACCCATAGCCCGGATAATAATCGTGAATTTGACTGTATACAGTGATTATTTCCCGTACTCCGCAATTATTTGCGAAGGCGAATAAAAATGATATACAGTACAGTACTCACTGCGATGAAGGCCGATTCCGTCCGCGTCGGCGACCGAAATGAGTGTGCTCATGGTGACCTGGTACACGAATGGAGACAGGTCAGCACTTGCTGCACGACGCCGACGTTTCCCGAAGGCGACCTGCCGATTACTGCACACGCTCTGAAACACCCACAGGAATAAATATTAAAAAAAAAATTGCACTCGGTAAAATTTCTTCTCCTTCCCCATTCTTTTATTTTTAGTACGTGTGCCCATTTCTGGGCTTTTTCTAATTGTCAGGGATTCGTTCCCAAACATTAATTGATTGATATACAAGCTTTATTTCCCGCTTCTCAGCATATTCACAAGGTTCAAAAAATGTTTCCCACATCCCAACCCCCAACAACCAAAAATATTCTTGGTGTCAGAACGTAAAAATTAAAAAATACAAGGTACTAAACTAAAATACATCGCAAAACAAACAAATGCATGAATAAAAAAATGCAATTCACGCAGGTAGGAGCTTGTAATTAACGATTTAAATGCAGTAAATATGGCAAAAAGCCACTTTATTGATTTACCTACAAAAATCAGACCATGCTCCCGAACTTTGAAAAAATATCAAAGTTGATTTTTGGTGTCCATTCAAATTTGACTTCGAGAGGTTCAACTGTAGAATATACCACTGATTGTACTCAGTGTATGTATACATAGTTGCATTCAAATCATACATTTTCCGCATAATTATTTACTTCGAAAAAACCATCTCGGGTTGGTTTATTTCTGAAGCAGGATATAGGCGGTAATTTGAAGAATTTGGGTCACATTTTCTAAATTGCCGAGCTTCAAAATTTATAGATTCCGAGACCACGAATTTCGGCCGAATGCCTGAATAATTTAAGCGTTCGATTCCTGCAGTACTGAAAGCTCACCTCAGATGTGCTCAATAACATTTTTACAAATTTATTGGTCCACGTGATGAATAATCGACTGCATATGGGTTTATTTTTTTCGATACAGGGCTTATAATTATGCCAGAAAATTATGTTGGGAATTGCTTTATTAAAATATTTTCCGGGGAATCCAGAGATAAGGTTGAAAAAAAAAAACATTTGAATCGAACAGACGCTCAAAGTTGCCTGGAAAAAAATTAAGATTCTGAAGGGACTTCGCAGAAATTTTCGACCAATAAAATTGTTTGGCTAAAGAAAAATAAACACTTTTCTCAGGACATTACGACTTATTTTTCCCTAGTTTTCATTTCAAACTCATGAGTCGATTTTTCGGGACTTCGTAACACCTGCAGCAACTCGAAGACAGTTTTCTAAATTGAACTCACGAAATCGTGCTCTTATACTCATCGCGAGATTTCATCAAGAAAACATAACAAAGAGGACAACCCGGTTTTTTTTTCGTTGATTAATAAATATAATAAATTTAAATTCAACACATTTCCGTTACGATGAATCTCGTGATAAATAAAACGTTTACTTGTTCCTGGCAGTTTCTCCATACGCCATGTTTATAAAAATCACATTTTGAAGAAAGTCATCGTGGGATTTAATCTCAGTTTAACGAACATTTGGCTCTGACTCTGTGGGTGGACCGTAGGGATTACAATATTTTTATTAATTTACCGAAAAACAAATATATATATATATATATATATCTGCAGGAAATTTGCTGCTGCATGATAAATTAGTAAAAGAGGCAATAAACTCATACTTTTATCTGAAATGTTGGCAGGACTATGGCAGTTGAAATTATCTGATGAAAAAGTGTAAGTTGGCTTTTCCCCCAAGAAAACTTGAGACAAATTTTCACCTGCTGAAATACAGCAATTCATTCTATATTTTTCATTCTGAAAAACCTTTCTTCAAGCCCACTTTTTTTTTAAAGACATTCCACTTTATAGCTGGTTTATTGGTTTTTAATTTTTTCAAAGAAGACACTTTTTAAATGCCTGCCAAAGAGTCTTGTGTTATGGAACCACACCAACATTACGCTCTGCACAAAAAATAACACAGAAAAAAACTCATTCATTTAATTAGAATAAAGAACAAACAACCAGAAAAACCGGGGAAAACTCAGAGTCTTCCCTTGGTACAAAACCCAACAAGTCACAATACTACAAACAAAATCTTTGAAATCTATGAGAAAAACTAAAATTACACAAAGCAACGAAATCAGGAAATACAAAACAGAAGACCTCAATTCGAGAAAATATCAAGAGCCATTTCAAGACACACATTTGTTGATTCGAGCTCAAAGTGCAAACTTCTATTTTTTTTTGCAACGATACGTGTGAATATTTTGTTGAAGAGCTTTGCTGAGTTTTTGTATTCTTTCATCTCTATCAAACCAAAATTCTTTTATTGGGACATTTTCAAAAATATATTTCAAACTCTTTTAAATCAGGAAATATTTTACGGATTCCCGGCTTTTGTCCCAGGCTGATCAAGTGTTTTATTTAACCTTGCTTTTCTTTACTCGATCGACAGTTTTTTTATAAATTGGTGTTGAGGTAAGTTATTTCACATCTTGCAAGCAAAAAATTTTTTGAGTCTGCAAACATTTTTATGAAACTTCGCCGGTCCGCGGACCCAAGAAGGTTGCTGGGGAACACTGATCTAGGTCACATTTGTTTTGTTTTTTGTTTTTCCTTTTCGCGGGGGGATTTGGAAATCGGGTTCTTAATTCACTCACGCCATCGCAGAGGTTGAGGCAAACGTCAACCACGCCCAAGAACTCCACGTAGGTGCTTTCTGGGAACTTGAAAGCCCGGAACCTGGCAGTCACTGCGTCTCCACCTTCTGTGACGAAGTTCTCGAACAAGTGCGTGTCCACCGAACACCTGCGCGATTCAGCCATCAATTTTCATTATTCAACGATGTGAGAATGAAATGAAATGTAACACACAGGGGTCCCCGACATTCGGACAATTCCGGACAGAACTAAATAAATACCGCCCCCCCCCCCAAAATACAGCGTGAACTCTCTCGATGTACAACAATCTTCATCGACAACGACGATCTTTATTTCACGGATTTTTTTGTAGGTCCCATTTAAGGTTCTTTTTCAATGTCATAGAGGTTTTCACAACACAATTCCCTGTAAAACACATCTTTTTCTGGTCCCTTGAATTTTCTTGTCAAAAAGAGAGAGAGAGAGAGAGTTTAACTTCATACAGATGATTCAACTTAAGGACACTGATTTATTTAATGTTTTGTCCCGACATCCGGACGATGTCGTGAGATATGGAAACGTTGATAACATTTTCTAGGAAAATGTGAAAAAAATTTAATATTTCTAAATTTTGATATGCTATCTTGAAAAAATTGAGCTTTTTACATAAGTTGTGGTTTCGGCAATTTTTCTTGGCCAGTAACGCTGAATGAGAATCTACTTTGAAATGTTTATTGCTGAGAAAAAAAAAATTCCTAAATTTACGAAAATTCCCTGAGATTTCCTTTCAGCCTTCTATAATTCATCTCACTGTCACTTCAGAGGACTCTCGACTCAAATAGACAATAAAATTGAGTATCCAAGATAAACTTCATTCCGAGGAATTCCACGAACACTTTCAAAGCACTCCGACGCATTTTGGCACCTGACATCAATTTACGCTCCCTCTTTGAAATGATATCTTCTCACGTTGAACATATATTTTTCCTTTCGCTTTTTCAGTTCGAGCTATTTCGCGATACAGTACTTGAAAATGTGAGAGGAACTTGAAAATGCGATATTGCATTTTTTGTTGTCGGGATGGGAACCACCTGTTACTCCACTGAGTCCTTCGGGATCAAAAGTTCAGGTCCCTGAGCGAATCGCGTTTCATGTCTCGAGGCGAGGAGAACATTCGTAACTTGGGATTCCTTTCCCACCAAATCGCAATAGTTCCAAAACTCGAGATACCTTTTAGGAAAATTTTTGTAAGCCATCTCTTGCTACCCCAAGTCCCAAGTTTTCCGAGAACCATTCACGGTAATGATGATTTATTATCCGTGCAAGGAAGTATTCTGGAATCACTCACTCACTATAGAGCTTCACATTTGATATAAATTCAGAAACACGCATCGAAGGAAAGGTATGATAAATCAGTATTCGAAACTTGCCATCAACTTCAGTCCGTTAAATTCCTTTTTGAAAAACACAGAGTTTGAAAAAGAAAGTGCAGAAACAAATCGGTAAACGCTGAATTTGAAGTCTCTCGTTACCTGCGCGTTAACGAGACGGTAAATGCCCAAGGTGTAATTCGAAAATTATATCGAAATATTGCAATGTATAAAAATAATTATTTTTTCAAAGCATACGGGATACGGCATATTTACTTTAAAACTACTGTACAATAATCCGTCACACCGAATTATTCATTACAATACGATTTGTCAGAAGGTTCCGACGGAAAAACTTCAAACACAAAGCTGAAAATCGCCATGATGAATTTTCAAGATTTATTACAACAAATTGATTTTTCCTGCGTCTAATACCTATAGTGCTCTCCTATTATTCAATCTTGTGATTCCTTTACGATCATCAGGATTTTGACATAGGTTTTTTGTCTTTCAAAGGAGTAACTCTGAATTAGTACTCACTGAAAAAAAATAAAAAATAAGTACTTCAACAAGGAAATCACGGAGAGATTATTTTTCTAAAATACTGAAACTTCATTGCTTTTTTTTTTAATATTAAACCGCATCCTAGTAGGAATTATTTTTTCATTTTGTTGGATAATGATCTGATATTGTCGAAAAACTTGGAATTTAACAATTTAACTCTTGATTTCAGAAAAGAAGCTCACATTTTTCTTCTAATTTCCTTGTGACAAATGATACATTTTTTTAAATTGAAAATTTATTTATGGCTGCTTTAAGCTTGTTGTTACTAGATTTCCGCACCCTGGTTAATGGCAGCAATAAAAAAGCCTCACAGGCCGATTATTTTTGCCAAAACTTGAACAAAATGACGAATGTTCTTGTCCATGCCGCGAGTGTAGTACTGTACTTGACGTACCACACTAAAGTAGCACACAAAATCCCCTCATACATGTTTAGGAAAAGTGGTACAATTTAGAAAGAGGAAAATAAGACACTCCCATTTTTTTATTTCTTTTGAGAAAAAAAACCTTGCATTGAAAACAGTCTCACCCTCCAAAGACGATGATCTCAGACTTGTCCCGGGTGTCGCTCACGCCCAGTTCGGACACCTTGATGCCATAAGTGGGCGCAGACGTGGAGTCTAACCCGACTGACATGACCAACGGGCTCCCGGGTCGCACCGTCAGCTCGTTACCCACTGGCAACCCGTTCTGCGTCACGGACACGCTCAGTTCCGGGACTGGGGCTTCGCCGGTAATGTTACCCGTCAGCTCTATGATCCTGATAGAAAAATAAATGCATCAAAATTTAAAAAACATGCATCGTAATGAATACAGCATAAAATAATGAATGGATATATTTCCATAATTCAGAAAAATAATGGGAAAATGGTCAATTAATACTTTGCCATCGCCCCCCTCCCCCAACAGGTTTTGCATTTTTATTCATTGCAAGAAAACTGATCATCCAAAAATTTTACAATTTTCACCAAATGTGAGAAAGAAAATATTCCACATAACGAAAAATGAGTGGAAACATGTGACCATGATCAGAAAATTTTATATTTTCATTATATACGCAGTGTCTTGAAAAATATCTTTAAAATTCGAAAAACGTGAATGGATTTTTCCCAATTTATAAAAATTTGAAGAATTTAACCATGTGCAACAATCAGAAAAAATGATCTGCCATAAAAAAAAGCTGATCTGCTCTGGTTCTTCTAGTCGATCTAGTTTTCCCCCAATAATTGCAAGATCCAAATTTGTTCGGTCTTTTAAAAAAAGCGATTCTGTATCATTAATTACTGCGATATTAGCATTAGAAATGAGAGAGCGAAGAATTTGAAGCCGGGGCCTGATTTTAAAGAATTATGATAATCCCTGTAATCCTTCAGATTATCCTTCTACATTCGAAACAAAGACAATGTATTCAGTCATCTGCAAGCAGAAGTCAATTACAGAATACATTTTAAATGCATTTTACCTTAATTTTTCAATACTTCATCCATATCTAGCTTTATTCTGTCATTCATTCCAAAGGAAAAAATTACCATACCTACAGTATGAGCTAGTCAGAATGCTCGTGAATATACCTCACATTTATTCTAAAAGGACAACTTTCTAAAATCTGGTATCATAAAACAATGCAAGAAAGGTAAATGACTCAGTTTCTTTCGGAAATTAATGTCAGTTCAAGACACTTTTTTTTAAATTAGCACGTACCAAGAGACTTTTGACAAATAAAAGGCTTGCTGCACAATCGCCATAATGCATCGCATGGCTTTATCATGCGAATGCTAATTAATTAATTAGAGAAGCTCGGCACAGATTTGAATCATTACTCAATGATAGTTTTAAACGCCTACGCAGTAGCTATAAAACGATAACTTTATGACCTACTTGTAGATAAAGGTCGTTTCTTGCCTTTTCGCTGCATCCAGACTAAATTTAAACCAATTAGCTGAGTACGTGAGCAATTGAATCAGTCCCTACTTGACACGGAACGGAAGAACAGGTTCAGACTGCTTTCTTCAAGAGCGATTCAAGTTTTGGCATATTTGTTTCGACGACTAATTCCAACTTATATTTCGGCCATTTTATGAATTTCACAAAAAGAAAACGTAGGAAATGAATTTCAGAAGTTTTGAGATATCTAAACAAAACAAGTCGTCAAATTGAACTCCGAGAACGAAAAGAAAAAAGCTGTTGTCACAGCATTTGCAATATTTTCCTTTGGAATGAATTTGAGAATAAAGCTGGATATGGATGAAGTATTGAAAAATCAAGGTAAAATTCATTTCAAATTTCCATGTAATTGACTACTACTTGCGGAAGACTAAATTGTTTTTTTTTCGGTGGTAGAAGGATAATATGAAGGATTACAGGGATTATCATTATTCCTTAAAATCAGGCACCAGCTTCATATTCTTCGCTCTTTCATTTCTAATGCTAATATCGGATTGTTTTTTTTGTTTTTTTTTTCCAGCATAAATCAGGAAATCGCACCACAAAAAAAAAAAAATTCGCAGATTGAATTTGTAAGCACAAATTGGAAGGATCAATGAAAAAGTAATGTCTTGATGATTGTTTAATGATGAATTTAAAAAGTTATTCCTATTTGACCTTCATCTGCTTTTTTCATTCTAATTTTTTTTTTAAACTCAAAACCACTAGTACAGTACCACTAGTTCCATCAGGAGTTGAACAGCTTTCGGAAATGCTCTCACATGCAAGAAACACACGCGTGCAGGGGATTAATATTAAACGATAAAACGTGTGTTCCAATTTAAATAAAATAAAACAAAGAATATTATACAAAAAAATGCTTACTCAGGCTCTCTAAAGCCAGCTGGCAACGCTTGACGTCGATGTCGACCTGATGACGAAGCCCCGCTGTCAAAGTCGCACTTGACACTCAGCAACTCCTTCTTGACTTCATCTTTCCCTTCACTTTTCTTCTTATCTATCCGCTGAACAACGATTTTATGGTAATATAACGTCCGACCCTGTCCAAGAAAAAAGCAAGATAATAAACAGCCACACAAAAAAAAAAATCAACAGTAATCACTCCATCATCCATTTTTCTCCGAAGATTAAAGCCGAGTCATCGTCATGTATTCAAGGGGAGAAAAATAGAAAAAATATATATTAAAATGCGGCAGAAAAAGGGCCACTCACAGTGTAACCGTTGAATACTTTGGTGAGTCCGCAAGGTTGCTTCGCTGCAAAGTCGAACTTGAAAGTCACTTTCCTTCCGTCAACCACGGGCTGACAATCTGGAAATGATGATAATCAAGCCTCTATACTTGTACAGGTGAACCTTGATAACTCGAAGTCGAATACCGATTATATAAATCTAATGGATATATTTCTATAATTGAGAAAAATATTCGGAAAATGATCAACTAATACTTTGCCATAGCCCACCTCCCCCCACAGGTTTTGCATTTTTATTCATTGTAAGAAAACTTATAATCCAAAAATGTCAAATTGTTCTCAGGTCCCACCAAATGTGAGAAACAAAATATTCTACATAACGACCAAACATTAATTTTGATTCCTCGTAACAAATTTCCAGCATACTGTGAAATGAGTGGAAAAATGTGACCATGATCAGAACATTATTATATATATATTTTCATCATATATGCAGTGTCTTGAAAAATATCTTTAAAAGTCGAAAAACATGATAGATTTTTCCCAAGTTTAAAAAATTAGAAATATCTAACTATGTGCAGCAATGGGACAAAAAATTGATCGGTCATTTAAAAAAAACTTACCTGTTCTGGTTCTTCTAGTCAATCTAGTCTTCCGCAATAATTGCAAGAATTTTTCTCCAAGGCTTTTTTCCCCTCAAACCTCCACAAGTCAAATTTTCTGTTGCCTGTTGGCCATTATTTTCTTGACCCAAGAAAAAAAGCAATAAAATCCAAAATGTATGTGTTTTAAAGAAAGTGAAAGACTTAATTGGGCAAATGAACCCCTGCCTCCAAGTTCAGCATCCTTTCAACACATTCAAGAAGCCATTTAAGTCCCAGAATATCACCATTTACAATTTTGGGCAATTTTTTCAAGTTTCCCAGAAAAAAAGGCTGTTGTACACTATAGCTCAAACATTTATAATTCAAAACCTCCCCAGGTCAAAACCTTCTCAAGTTGATTTTTTTTTGCTGGTCCCTTGAAGAGAGATTCAACTGTACCACAGAACAAAATCTGTAAGACGCTGCGATCGGAAACCCGTCACGTTTTCCGATTCATACATTTAAATCGCATTCGCACAGTTTTTAAAAATGTAAAGGTTGATGTCAAAAATTATTAATTTTCCGGAAACTTTATGCCAAATGATAATGCGATTCATTTTTATTTCTAGAAGAGGGATTTCGGGCTTCAAGAGGAGAAAAAAAAATCATTTCTCCAGTTGAATCATTGGAAAAAGAGAGTCGACATGCGGACGATTCTACACAGGGACAAGGTACAAGCACAAACTATGTCCGCATCTCGAGGCATCGCAAAAATGCGACATTGAGAAAAAATCGAGCGTAAATTAGCAAATCTCTGAAGCTAATGGTGGAACTTATTCAAATAAATCTTTGTTTTACTACAGGCGGAATGAGTTTCCTCATAATCTCTCAAGGATTCCCGCGGTTTTAGGGTCGACAAACTGGAAAATTCGCATCAGGGAAACAGGTCTTGACAGAACGGTCGATCGATCGATCGATCAATCAATCAATCGGTGAATGGATGGAACGGATCAATGGAGATGTTTTTTTTTTTGTGTGGAACAAGTGGGCCATGAAAAAAAAAAAACTCACCTGGAATCACGTGGAACTTGTCCAGAAACACGTCAGACACGTCCTTGGCCTTCACCACGTCCACTTGCATCGACTCCGGTCCGCATTTCACCTTGTAATCAACTGCAACCCCAGACAAGACACAATCCCGCACCAATTATCGCCCACTCTCGTAATTAAACCAAAACGGATGTTTATTTTTAAATCTTCATTAAACTGTTTTTTTTTCAAGTTCCGAGAAAGAAATTATTCGCCCTTTTTCCCGGCCACTTTGAAATAATTTCAAAGGATTTACGGCCGTTTCGGAGAAACTCCCAAGATTTATGCTAGATTGATGCAAGACTGTGATAAGCTGAGGATAAAAAGTGTAATTTCAGAAATGAATGCCTGTTTGAACTGGAACACTAACCTTTTATCGGCAATAATTTCGTGATTTTATGGACTTGAAAGCTTTTTGTGAAATACTGTATATATTTTTTCGTGTGAGAAAGGAATTATTCAACTTTTTTTTCGGAATTAAAAAATAATTTTAATGTTTTTTGAGCGCCTTCGAAAATTCATCCGTATGAATCGTATGATGCTTGATCTTTTTTTCAAACTGAGAAAGTAATAAGATCCAAAAGTATGTTTACTCAAGAACACATACATTAATTATATACATTGGAAGACTTAGAAAATTTTTTGCCCGATTCTGGATTTCCAGGTACAATACGTAGATGCAACCCGTCATTTGGCCAAGAAGATATGAATAATTTATATGATCCTACAAGCATTCATAAAAACACTAATGCTTGAAAAAATAAAGAAATTTCAAAAACTCAATGAAACATAATAAAATGATATTCCTATGAAAATTTCAGTTGAATAATGCGCCACATATTGTTCATGATTTCATTTCGGACATTTTTTGAATTGAGTGCCTCAAAAAAAATCCCATTGCGTCACTTCCAGTCATCGCATTGTAAGACATAAACATGAATTCGACCATGAATTTGAAAAATGATCACTTAAATATGCAGTAGTCCTGAAGATTTTAAAATGGTGGCAATGAATCGGATTTTTCTGTTAACTACGGCTATACGTCGCTTGCGAAACTAGAACATCAACAAACCGTAATTATATTGAAAAATAATAATGCGTTACGTGGAAATTGACCAATATTGTAGTGTCCACCTTTAATGACGATAAAGTACTTAAAAAGTTTCCACAGACGCGTTTCTCAATGTGGGTAGGTGTCACTCCCACTCAATCGGGTAACATAGCACAGTAAGACTTTATATTATTCATTTCTATTTTCTGCACGTTTGTGAGCCTTAAATGGAATATACAGTATAACTTAGGCTCATTAAATGTTGATGTTGCGCAGAAAAGTGATTTTGACATCACAGGTGCAATCGAAACGCTAATTAGGCCCTGACCAACAGAAAACCACGGTTTGAGTTTGTGAATGACTTTCTGAAGCGTAAAAAAAAAAAAAAGCCTCAGCCTTGACTAATGTCTACAAAAAAAGATACTACAAGTGAAACGTGTGGCAGTTTTGTCGCAGAAAGCTTCTAGGATTTATAAAAAGGCATTACAAATTAAATTCCTTGAAGAAATGTAACTGTAACCATTTTCATGGAATCAGAGATTAATTTCTCTTAATCTTACTTTTCAACCCGTTTCGAAAAATTGTAAAGCAAAAACCATTTCCCAGCAGAACCCAGGTAAAAAAAATATATCACACTAAAAGCAAGAAAGTTCACAAGTAAAAAGGATGCATAAAATATTAAAATTGATTAAAATTTTTATTTTCAAAAACAATTTTTACCCCTATACAATATTGATTAAAAATCGTTCCCTTCAAGGGTCGGAAGACAATTCTTGAGCAAAAATCTCAAATCCTCACAATTTTAATTAAAATCTCACATTCCTGTCAGGGAAACCGTAGGAAAAGCTTCATAAAAAATTAACTCGTCGTTATTAATATTAAAAATGTGTCATGCTAGCGATATATTTATCGATCTGTGTCTACGGTGTTTCTTTCGGGGCCACATAAAAAGGTCCGTCGTATCCAGAAACTCGTTACAACGGACTTCATCCCAAATGGTGAAATGAAATAAAAAATACACCTGTTCAAATTTGTTGATCGGGTCCTTCAAGAAATTTGCACGAGCTGAACCAAAACTGTTCGAGAAAAATCCTCACAGACCCTAACAGTGTCTAGACGGGAATCATTAGGGTAGAAAGGGTGCATTTTCGGGTCAAATTCGCAAGTTCTCCTCTCGTCAGCAGGTGCACGAAACTTTCTAGGCCAGCTCAATGCAGACGGGTTCAGTTTACACTGGCGCCAAATATTTTCTTTTGGCGCGTCTCAAGTTCATCGCAAAAAAAAAAAAAAGATTGAACATTTTCACAGCCTTTTTTTCAGCAATCATGCATCGGTTTGAACGCTTCACCTGTACAGGGTGGGGCACAAAGATAAAGTATGTTGGCGTTTCGCAGGACTGCATTTTTGCAAGCCATTTATGTACGGTATTGACACGCGTAATGGGAGGGAACTTCAATTATTTAGGGAAAACAGCGTGAAGTATTTATTTGGCTATGTAAAATCCATTTTCGCGTTCTGTTGATGCATATAATTGCATTTGAACCAGAAAGTAATGAAAATTTGAAATAAAATTGCATAAGCTTAAAGTTTTCGCTGATTTTCTCTCAAATTCATATTTTGAATTGTCCGAGAGATGCTAAAGTTTCAAAAATTGGCCCAGTGCTTTTCTGGTCCACCCGGCATAAATCCATCCATTTCTCCTTTGCATACTGATTATTTCTTGAGATTTCTAGAAGAATCAATTTTATTTGGAGTGCGGGTCCGGAAAAAGCAATGATTTCTTGAAACTAATTCCCTAACACGTCCAATTATTTTTCACTCCGCAATCTTTCAGCTTCCGTTCAAGGGAACCCCGAAGTAACAAAGACAATTTTATCCTGGAAAAACGTTCACACCTCAAAAATGGGCCTGGTATCATGTTCAGAAGTACTTCGTTTTAATAATTTTCACGTTGATCTTGAAATTCCTTGGATTTGTAAGAAGATGAATCCTCTCCTATATTTCGTGAGCACTTATACTATTCGATTTTCTTCTTTTTCTATGAAGAAAAAGCATGTTCATAGAAAAACTAGAATAGCTCGAAATTTTAGAGAAATCGGCAGGTTCGAATATGCACGCACGATGTTACGACTGTAATGTTTGCATGAAAAAAATTATAAAACCGCACAATGAGAGGTTCAATATTATATACGCACTTTCTTCCGGAGAATTACGGAATTCCTTCTGAACATATTCAAAAAAAAAGTAAATGCCGAGTCTGGAAAATAATTTCAAAAGATAATGAATTCAAAATGTTTTTCGCAGATCTCGCAAATCACAGAAAAACCGTCGTTCGGCAATTTTATGCATCAGCGACGAAACACGAACTATTATTTTTTAAATATCTTCAACATAAACAAAAGTATATACAGTACAGCATTCAAAAAGATTCATAATGTATTAAATTTTCCGAAAAACGACTTGAGAACAAATTTTCACGTTTTAGAATTTTTTCTCGGTGGATTAAAACAATGTATGGGGTCTTCATGGTTTTGTTGATTCTTCCTATAAAGGGTACGAATTAATTTTTTTTTCGTTAAGCAAATTTCAAGTTTAAAATGTGTCATGAATAATTTCAACGTACGAGTAAATATTCGCTTTTTATCGAATTAATTGCTCTTCAAACATCAATATTCATTTTCTGGAAAAGGTCAAGATTTCATCTGCCTCCCTCGACAATTTTTGGATAAATGAAACAAATGACTCAGTCCGGGACAGGACTGGGAATTCCTTTTAGGAATTCCTAAGTTAACAGTAAGATATATTTCAGGAATAAACGAATAACAACTCAAACGAGCTCGGGCTTGGATAACTTGGAATAAGCGCACAACTGAATCACACAACAACTTGTTCTGATATGACGACTATTGAAGATGCAGTTTTTATAGTATTCTTTATAATTAACCTTCATAAGGTTTTACTACTCGAATTCGGAGCAGAAAAGTGATTGTCGAGGATGCTACGGTGCCAGGTGTATCATGGCACCGCGATTTTAAGGAGGGGAGGTTATTTCTATGAATTTCTAAGAAGTATATATTGTACATAAATCGTGCATGCCCAACAAATGTGTCATGAATAATTTCAACGTACGAGTAAATATTCGCTTTTTATCGAATTAATTGCTCTTCAAACATCAATATTCATTTTCTGGAAAAGGTCAAGATTTCATCTGCCTCCCTCGACAATTTTTCATCAATTTCAGTACTTTTAAGAAAAAGCCTACTGAGTCTATGGATATACAGTATAAGAATAGCAGACAAAAATAAAATAAGAATTAATTATAATTTTTCAAAAATACATTGCTGCCAAATTTTGGCGGAAAAAACGAACAACTCACCTTTCGGCGTCGAATTTGACGTCACACAGGGCAAACAAAGCACGGAAATCCCGACGATCGTCACCAGGAATGCCAAAAAATTCGGCTTTCGACCCGACGATGGAATGCGGCGTGTTTTCAAGGTTGCCAACGGCGACGATTCGTCGCTCATTTTTTTTATAAATCTTTATAAATCTTTCCACTTGTTTTGACAAGCTCAACGAATTTCAGATTTCCTCCGAAGTCTCCTTCGTTACTCGTCACTTCAGTCCACACTCGCACTCCACTATTCCTTTTCTTTTCAAGTATATTCTTGTCTTTCTATTGGGTCATTCCTGTTGGAAAGAAATCAATCAAAAACTGATGAACACAGTTTCCATCAATAAACGGGAAAGACGTTTGAAAAGTATTCACAGGGTCTTGCAATGAAAACATTTTCAAACCGTCAACAGTTGAGAAACGAATTCAGGAAATGATTCATTAAAAAATTGAATAATACTGAATATATTTTCATTATGGAACAGTCAAATTATGATGTCCTTGACTCAAGTCTATTACATATTAAAAGTTAAATTCAAGTTCCGAAAATGGGGTACATTGCAGAATATGTAATAAGGTAAGGCAAATGTGCGAGAAATGAACAAAAGACTGAAATTCAAAATTGTTTCCCAAAGTCGCGACAATATAACTATTTTTTCAATTTTTTTATGTTGTTGGTGATTTCCAGGAAGGATACAATTGTTAACATTGACAAAAATTAACTACATGTACGCCCAAAAACCAGTTCCACGAATTAATTAACCCAAGCTATTTCAGGCATCACTTCATGTAAAATCACTGGACGAACGGCGAAACCGGAAATCGAATTTTTGTGAAGGTTTCTGGACAGCATTCAGCCAATTAGTGCATTCACGACTGATCATTATTTCTTAGCGGTCATTGAACGATTTTCGAATCCGGTGTTTTGGCCGAAATAAGAATCATTGACCCATTGGCCGAAAAACCTCAAGCGTCACGTGCCAATGGTCCGAAAATAAAAATCCGGGTCGGTGAAATTAGGATTTCACTTCCAGGTACTGACCAGGACTTTTCCTCCATCTACTGTAATTTTTGGACTAGAACTGGGAAATCGTTCGGAACGCTGCACTAGAAATCTCTGAAAATTGTTCCGGCGCGACGCCGTAAATTTTAAAAGACGGTATACTTGAAGGCATCGGCATGTTAAATCATAAAGTGCAGAATTTATCGCCGAAAATTTATGGCAGACTTGGAACTTGGTGAAAAAAATATTAAAAAAAAATATATAGATGCATTTAAAAAATAAAGCTAAAATACTTACTGTGCCTCAGAAAAATATAGGATACACCAGGAATAAAAATAAGCTTTAATGCTAAAAATTTCCTTCAATTTGATGTTTCCGGAATTCACCGAAATTGATCCGTTATTCAAGATCGTAATAGACTAGATTCGTGACACGACTCGGATACTAAAGCCCTTAGAGAATCACACACGTGGTCATGAAATGGAGGAAGCGTTTACTGCGTTTCCGGAATGCCTTTTCATGCCCCAAGAAAAGGTCACATATTTTTACGATAACATTGAAAGCACGAAGATGACGATACAAGGACTGATTCGAATGTTTCTGCCGTACTGTGATAAAGTATTAATGTTCATTGGATGCCAAGTAGTCTGAATGTTCAGAATTACATAAATTTAAAACTTTTGCGCAAAAAGAGCTCCTGTTGTTGGGCAAGCATGCTGATCATTTAATAATTAATATAATATCAATTCTTGGAAATGAAAAATCATTCCCCCTCCTCAAAATCAGTTCCTGGCACCCTAGCATCCTAGACTATAGAATTCTTCACCTGATTAAATGTGTAAAAACCATTGAAGGTTAAATATGATTCTGAGTATATAAGCAGCTCATCCAGATCAGATCAGTATCAGTTGTGATTTGTTGCTCATGTTATTCATTATTCCAACTTATCCTGCAAGCTGCAAGAAGAGTTTGCTGAATTGTTTATAAGTTTATATTGTGAAATACTGTACAATTATCCCATTAAACTATAAATTCCAACAAGGAATTCCCGGTCCTGTCCCGGAATGATTATTGTGTTTTATTGCTATATTCCACACTCAACATCAACTTAATTCTGGTGATATTTGTCCCCAATACCTGTTCATGTGCCAACAATTTTATTCAATTGGCTTGAGCAAATTCTAGCTCATAAATTTAGATTTTAGTGTTAGATATAGACCTCACTAGTGGTAATCTCACCAAGTGAACAGCCTTCCTTTTTGCTTAATCCCTGATATCTGAATTATATTCAGAAAAATGTAAAATAAATCTACTGAATTCAAAGCCTTCCCCATAACTCAAGTCTCTTCAACTCAAATTTCTAAAGGGCTTTTGATCTTTATCCTGGGGACTCAGGAAAGAGAAGATAACTTGAAATTAAACTTGATTTTTTCAAAATGCTGAGAGTGACAAATTGGACAAATGTATTATGTATCCTTGCTTCCAAATTCAGCAAGTCAGCTCACTCATCCAGCACTTTGAGGCCCAAAAAGTCATCAATTTTACCTTCCCGTAATTTTTAATTTGTTTTCTTGCAAAATTGTTAGTTTCCTACCTCAAAAAGTCACTTAGTCAATTCTTTTAAAGGCATTGCTGTATTTCCTGATTCTCTAATCATTTTTTTGCTGGCCCTGTGTCTAACAAAATTTAATTCAAATCAAAATTAATCTTACAATTGCGTCAAAATGTATGCGCAGTTGGTAATAAAAATATATATACTGTATAAGAATCATGCGCATCAAACATGTCTGCCTAGAAAATAATTACTGTACTGAAAATTCAAAGAGCTGAGTGTTCAAGGAAGAGAGACATACATTTTCCCTCTGACAATCTTTACACGCAGAAAACGGAAAGCTCAAAAGCTGAAAAAGTCTAAACATTGAAAAAATACCATTCGAGTTTGGCTTCTTCTTACGTTTATTTTTTTTTTGGATGGCACCCACTGTGAAGCACAGGAATAAAAGTATTTAAAAAAAAACAAAGAGATGAATAAATTCTTCACCCAGCCATGGTCACAGCTTTTTCCACACCCAGGCCATAAAAGGTAGGAAACGGGACCCACCCTGGGCACTCGTGATCACCGAGAATCCCTTTTATTTCCCTGTTCTGCATACGCTCACATTGCAAGAATACCGCACAAATATACAGTATTTGTACGAGTATCTTCCCCCATACCTTCATTTTACGACCTTCGTGGAAATTATTCTCAATTCTGATTAGCCGAACAAAAAAATAATAATAATAATGCAGCCATGCGCGTTTTCGCATGCGACTATACTTCAGAGATTTGCAATTATGCATACCTTATTTTCCAAGAAGCTCAAGATTTTGAAAAATGCGGCTTGAAATATTTCCCAGTATTGAATGCCCAAGTTTTTATACTGATGCAAACATAGAAGGCCGTAAAAAATCTTTTTTTTTTAATATATATTTTCATTAAAGAAAAGGGAAAAAAAGAATTACCTGGTTCGCCTTGAAGTCTCTGTCACACTTCTGCGTCACTCTTGACACAATTCAAAAGCTGGTTTCCGCATTTCGGAGGGTAATTTAAAAATGCATTTTTTTCCAGGCTGGATTTTAGGTCAAGTATAAATTATTGGCCTTTTATTTTCAGTCTTGGCACAATTCAGAAGCTGGTTTCCGCATTTCGGAGGGTAATTTAAAACTGCATTTTGTCCAGGCTGGATTTTAGGTCAAGTATAAATTATTGGCCCTTATTTTCAATCTGGGCAAAATTCAAAAGCTGGTTTCCGCATTTCAAAGGGAAATTTAAAAATCCACATCCTTCACGCTGAATTTACCAGGTATGAATTATGACTCTCTTATTTCATCCAACGCCAGAAAATCGCGGAAAATGTATGTAACTAATTTTTTTTTTCCTGATAACGCCAGTCACCGGGAAACTCGGAGCAATTATAGTACTCCAACATCTGTTGACTAATCTTACTGAAATCCAGATGTTCAACGCACCGTTTGAAGAACACTGACCACTACGTCACGCGAACCTGACATTTCATCATTATTTTACAATATAACTAAAATTATTTTTTGCGTGAGAAGTTCTGAAAAATCTCAGGTCATGTACCTGTTCACTAAAAACAGATTCTACGTAAACGACTGCAGAAAACCTAGAACAGTATTCGTGCCGATACTAAAGTCAATCAAACCGAAACGGTATCGGCATTTTCATTTGCTTTACAAGGTACAGGAAACTCTGAATATTAAACAAGATGTAATGGTTTTCAGAGCGAGGCTAGAATGACAATATTTACCACTTGTCAATGCTAATATTTCGCCAAACTCAACGTATTGCTATGAATAAGGCATTTTATTTTTTATTTTTAGAGAAATATTCTTGGCGAAAAAGATATGTCCATTTCATCCCTTCGAATAAAAAAAAAACTCCGGACATAAAATAAAATTTTCCAGATGCTCAAGAGCTTATTGTCAGACTCGCTTTTAGAATTTTGAGTTTTTTGTACTTCCTCCTCATGAATTAAATTGAATACATCATTGAAACGAAATACGGGTATTATTCACACACTCGAGTTATTGACGGTATCGATTAATATAATTTGAAATTGGTGAGCTTGGCCTTTTGAGCAAAATTTGCATATAACCTGAGACAGTAACTTCAGATTTCGCAAATTTTTGCCGAGATAACCTTTAACACAACGAATTGCCCCGAAAAACTGTAAATGAAGACTCATTTTAATTATTGTCACACTAAAAGTATTCTTGCATAAAGTATAAACACCTTGTCACTTCAAACAACACCCAGGAAAAAAATGAGCCACTCACTTTCCGAAATTCGTACTAAAATACGCATCCTTGAATTCAACTTGACGACTTCAATTGGCAAATGAGTCATTTAACGGGTCTATATTTTGGACCACCAAAAAAACAGGCAATTTAATGGTCAATCTAAATTCTAGAAAACCATTGCTTATAAGACAGATTTTTTTTCTAGCCAATTTTGATTCAAGAAGGCCTTATAATCACGGAAATGAGCTAGTGTGTTAATCTCCTGAAAAGTGCTTCGACCTCTGACGGTTTCAGGCAGAGAAAAAAACCGCGAAAAATAGACCATTAAAATAAGCGAATCCTTCATTAGGCTTTTTTTTTAAATAAGACAAGGCAGAAGAACAACCAGGACAACCACAGGGTAATTGTTTCTCAATTCTTCACGCGAAACCGACTTTTCGCGATGATAACATACCTACAAGAAAGACTAGCGGTACAAAACACTTCCGGATTTTACGCGCGAATCTTCGATATATAA